AAGATTTGGTGTTTTTCTTGTTTTGTGATCCCACCCTGGAGCTGTTTGACTGGAGTGAGAACATAATCCGACCCAGACAGGAGAAGATTAGTTGAGTCCGATCATATCAGCACTGATGATGATGATGATGATGATTATAATGATGATGATGATGATGATGATGATGCAGATTCTTGACCAGTAAAATATCTTAAACAACCACCAGTCTCACCAACTGAACCAATGCAAACCAAAAGAAGCAGTCTCCTGATTCAGCTGCTTTAGTTCCAACAGAATGAACCATCACGATGAAAAACGGGACGATTTTGGACGGCGATAAGCTTTAATTGGCTCGTATTGTTATTTCATAGTCGCCAGGCGTCACAACATCTGCTTTTAATCCCATTTTAAGCATCAGAACAGAGTGCGTCGCTCATATACAGCATTAGGCTTTAATTACGTCTTTTATCAACACATTCGATGCTCCGCGTTTTTTGGCAGCTGCGTCAAAGAATCCTGTTTTTGATGTCGAATCACATCCTTGTTGTTTTTGTAGATTTAAAGCAAATTCAGGAATGTTACTGTTTGAGGGTGAAACGTCAGCAGCTTTATCAGCAAACGTTTTTCATGTGTGAGTTTAATGTTAAGGGGCTGTTTGATCCGTGCAGTCGACTTTTATCAGGATTTATTTCGCCGTCTTGTCCTCCGCACACAAAGCAGAAAGGATGTGACAGATGATGATTAAAACGCTGTCATCGGACGCTTCACGAGAGCCCCTCGACGCTCGATTCTTCTCACAGTCGGAAACGTGTTGAAGTCTTTGGCTTTCATGGATGAAAAGTGCTTTTGATCACAAAGGGGAAATTGCAGTGCAGCTGCTTTACAAAAAATCCAAATAAAATCAATCAAAAAGCTAAAATATATACAATTAAATCTAAGCGTCGCCAATTATCACGTCTGTGTTTATTCACCAGCGACGTCTGACGGTTGCTCGGTAACTCTGCTCCCTCGCAGACTCGACTTTAGTTTGTGGAAACGAACTCAGTGGAAAACTCAGAAACTGAAGATGCAACAATCCCAGAATCTTTCTCACTACAAAGGTTCTGCAGGCAGCCATGTAGAACCAATGCAGAACCAAAGACTAACTACTCTAAAACATGCTGTAGTCTCACGTGCAGGTTAAAGATCCATTGAGTGGTTGTAGTAGTTAAGACTGTCGGAGACGCTGCATGTTTTCCAGTCAGTGTTGGTCCCTTCGTAACCATGGCAACGCCGTCTCCAAGCCTTAATTTCAACTAAAACCATTAAATTTCTCTGAACCTTAGAAAAGCCTTTCACTGATTCAGCTTCGCTCGCACAGAAATCTTCCACGTGTTCCTTTTTTTTTTTTTCTTGTACAAACTCCTGCATCTCACCAATAAACGAAGCAATCCACTGATTGACTTCCTGTTTCACAACCATCCAGTCTGCTTTGGACTTGTTGGGTTCATGCAGTGTCAAGTTAGAAGATAAATCAAAATGTGTGACCTGTGATGTGGTGGGAAGGGTAGAGGGGTTGTTGGTGGTTTAAACCAGGGACCAGACTTTGACCTGGAAGTCTTTGTGTCTCAGAATGAAGTTTAGTTTTCTGGTGTTTACCCAAACGACATGGTTGGGTGTAGAAAAAAACATATATTTTGCTTGGACTTTCATTAATTAATTACAGAAAAAATAATACATGAAAAAAAATAATGCATTTAATCGCAACTCTCTCAGTTCCCTAATTTCTGGCACACCGATCACACTGATGCATTCCAGCCGCTAGGTGGCGCTAATGCACCTGAGGTTTGTTTGCCAGCCGTGAAGAAGCTCCACAGGATGCACTGAGTGACGTCAACTTACAGGAAAGTTTGTGGTGGAAGACGAGACCGCGTTGTTGGATTTATTTTTAAAAAGCTTCTGGATGGCAGATCAGAGCAGGGTCATGTGCAAACTGTCTTAAAATGTTGAATATAATCGCTTTAGCTGCACTTTGAGTTTGCACGAATCTGTGAAAGTAGCAGACGGATGAAAAATGCAGATAAATATAAATGAAAAATAAACATTTTAGTTGTTTAAGCTCACGTTTGTGGCTGTTCAGTGATTCAGTCGTCAACCAAGATTCATTTGAATTTAAAAACTTTGCGTATTGTGTCAAATGTTGTTATTTGATTTTTAAAAAAAAGACATTACGTTAAGTTTTGTACATATACAGGCCGCACTTATCTATAAGCTGCAGGTGTCCACGTTGTAACATGAGATATTTACAGAGAGAGATTCTTTTAGCTTTTAATTAAATACGTAGCGGTAACATACTCAAATACTTTTTTCTGAACAGTTCCTGTAACACGGCTGGTTAAGAAAATAAAACATACAGCAGCCTACCAGGAAAAGTCATTGATCGCTATCTTCATCTTCCTCCTGCACTAAAACCACTAAAGTCGTCTTCTTCAGGCTCAGAATCACTTCGTCACTTCCTCAGTCTCTCTTTCGTCGTCGATCTCAACGTCACTTTCATCTCGAAATTCGTAAAAATCCATAAATTAGCCGCATCGTTGTTTAAGCCGCAGCGTTCAAAGCGTGTGAAGAAAGTGGCGGCTTGTAGTCCAGAGATTACGGTAATAATTACGGAGCGCCTGATCTTTAGATTCATTATT